AAAAATGAAAGATGAAGAAATTAAGTAAGTTTATAGTTTGAATTTTCTTTATTGCGATTTTCGTGGCAAATAAACTTTTTTTTTAGTGAATACTGCGAATACTCAAACACTCGAATACTCAGTTGTCTTAGTACATTGGTTAAAGCTCGATGCCCGATTTTATATGCATACGATGTAATTGTCTACTAAAACAATAACATCGTATGTAAAATCAATCTTTAATCAATGTGCTAAGGTAATCGAGTTTTCGTGTGTTCGAGCATTCGCGGTATTCACCAAAAAAAAATTTTATTTGCATTTTGAAAACCGCGATAAATTGGTTAATTGTCCGGAGCGTAGCTTTGTTCAACGTGTTCGATTGTCCGACATGTGTTATATTCGCTAAAGTTATAATTAAAATTATAATTACACTAGACATGCTATGTCCATTTTTGATTGTGTGAAAATCTATTATGCTCTGGACTTTAAACCTTTCAAGTTTTCCTAGTTACTATTATTTATTTGATTTGTTTATGGTGATAATTATAGAAATATTATAAAATTATCAAACGATTCTGAATACGATGTACTTAAACATATCGCTGATCTCTATCCTATTATGCAAATTGATGATGCTTATTTTAAAGGTATTTATTTTCTCAACCTTTTATTTGACTAAAATAATATTAACATGTTTTAATTTCGTTACTAGTAACTGGATATGATGTCATCACGCCTGGATCTCTTGTTACATTGGTGGTTAAAGTTAAATACTTAGATTCAGCTTCAGAAGCAAGCTATAGAGATGCTAAAATGGCTGAAGCCAAAATTGCCAAAGATAACAAAGTTCAGAAGAAAGATGATAATAAAGATCCGAAAAAAGATGATGATGATGATGAGAAAGGCGAATATCTTGACAGCGAGGATGAGTTACTTTATGGTGGAGCAAAAAATACTACATCTGATGAAAAAAGTCCTTTCGTGCATGCTCCACATTTATCAAGAGACAAAAAACCTTATTGGTGGATTTTTATGGCTGATGATAAAAGAGATAAAGTTATGATTGAGCCCATTAAAATAACTGACATTGTTACTAGTAAAACATTTAAGTTCCAATTTGCTGCCCCTCGCGATCCAGGATTATATACTTATGTTGCATATATTAAGAGTGATTCATACGTTGGAACTGATATTAAAAAGGAACTTCGTGTAAGTCTTTCATACTAATATCTTATTATATCAATTATTATATCAATTATTATATCAATTATTATGTCAATTATTATAATTTATTTATTCATTTTCTTCTAATATATTAGCTCGATGTGAAAGATATTTCTGTGCTTCCACCCGAAAATGAAGTTGAAGATGATATATCAGAACCTGAAGAAGATTCATTCGCTGGACAGTTAAAACTAGCAAGAGAACAAGGAATTTACTCAGTGGTGGCTGGTGCAAATGGTAACGAAAAGAAGAAAGAAGATAGCGATAGTAGTGATGATAGTGATGATGAGTAAAAATTTAAATTATTGGTAAAATATATAAATTTGGAAATGGTTTAATATGGGATTCTTTAAGTCGGGTTAATTTTGGGGTAACTCTGTTAGATAAAAAGGATTTGTGTCATATATTTTACCTACCAAAAATTTAAACATTAATAGAAGACATAGTCCATATTCAAAAAAAAAAAAAAAAAACAATTCTTATTAACACTTTCTAGTGATAGATGTTAACAACTCAAGCAATATCTATACCAAAAATTTGTTTATATATTACATTTATTAACATTGGTAACATGTCATTTCAATCAATTTCTTCTGAAAAAAAATCTCAATAAAGAAGCAATTGTAATAGACAAAATTAAATCAATACTATCATAATGAGTGAGAATGTTACAAGTAATCCATTTCTTTATTCACAAAGTATTTTTATGGAATGTTTTTTTCTGATCCATGCTGGTAATATTAAAAATAGTATTAGACCCAATAATGAACATAACGATAAATTATCGTTATACCAATATCAATCATGAGATACTAAATATTTTCATCAATTAAAGTGCAAATTGGTTTTATTTCAATATATATAATTATAATTGTATCACGGGTTATAAAGTAACAAATAAAAAATTTATTATAAAAAAAAAAAAACTATAAACATATACAAAATATTTAAAACAATTAAATTTATTAAATTTCTTTAGTCAACACAAATAAACCGATAAACGATAAATTTCGAAAGTAAACTTTTAATCCAATAAAAAAAAATAGATGAGTATTTAATTAAAGTAATCGATGTACTCCAGAAAGTTGCATGTCAACATGCGATAATAAGAGACTAAAAAAGGATAATATCCCAGCATTCTTTTTTAAAAACTAGCTAATATTTTTTTTCTAGTATCCACGGAACGAAAGATACTATATATATTTGATTCAATTTATTAATTGGTTATTTAATAATTATAAGTAAAATATTATTTGAACAGTTTAGACAATTTTGGTAAATAATATTACAGGTCATTTTAATCATAGGATAGCATTCGTTTGATTGGCTAATGTAAATCAAATGCCTGGGTAACTTACTTATCGTTATACGTCTAATCTCGATATAATCACGGGGTTGGTACCAAAATTCAATATGACTAAGGTGATAGTGCCTTAGGGTGATCATCAAACCACCCAAAAAAAATTCGAAAGTCACGTGATCGACGATCAACATTTTAATTGGATGCGTATAACTTAAATGATAAAGAAAATTTTTTTAAAAAAAA